TGCGCCTGTTACATCCGCAAAAACGTTAGCTCCTCCTACATGATTCTTGTTCCTAACAGTGGAGCAGCAGGAATCTGTGGAAGATAACCTGCTCAATACCAATAGCTTGCGTCACCACCGGTGCTCATCATGCTGCCATAGGCTGATGGTGGGGTAGACAAAATCTGTGGAAGCTGATATGCCATGTGCCGGTAGGTTGCGCCACCCGTGCTCATCATGCTGCCATAGGCTGATGGTGGCGTAGAGATGTGTGGAAGCTGACCTGAGGGGGAGCGCAGATAGCTTGCGCCACCCGTGCTCATCATGCTGCTATAGGGTGGTGGTGGAGTAGAGAAACGCGGAAGCTGATCTGCGGGGCGCCCGTAGCTTGCGCCCCTGGTGCTCCTCATGCTGCCATAGGAATTGTTGGAAGTTCTAAAAGGTGCCTGCAGATTTGTGGGACGACGGGCGGTTGGGGCCAGGCCACCTTGCTGCCATGGAGTTGGGGACGAACCGCTCTTTAACAGGTTGCCGATGGCCCCTAGGAGATGGCTCGTATTCGGCGACTCCAACTTCTCAGCCTCAACTATGCTGCGCTTCGTCATTACACCATGCCCCTCGACTCTCAGCTTAAGTACACACTGACGCCGAAGGATACCCTGCATGATTTCCTCAAATTTTACACCGTCTTTCTCGACATCTTTTATCATGAGGAGTTCTTGTGCTGTGTAGCCAATTATTTCCTCGGCAGCCTGCTGCAAGACTGTCGCATTGGTTGAACCAGTATGGTCACTGATTTGGCAGTTGAGCATGTACCGGTACTCGCAGGTCTGGGACCTCCAGAGGCATCTGGTGCACCACCACCCATCACCATCAACTTTCAGCTTGTTATTGCATTTCTCACCGTCGAACATCAAGGCGCAAGATGGGTAGCAGAAGGCACCACTGTCTACCTGTGAAACTGCAGCCACAACCGTGATCAAGTCAGGTTGACTGGACATCCTAAAGTTCTCATCCTTGATCTGTGCAATGGTTCGGTATGTATTGCCGGTCCAGTCGAAGCCTTCCCAGTTTGTCGGAGGAGCCGCGAGCCCCTGGCCTTGATTCCTCAGTGAAAGCTGCTGCATCTTGGCATCTATTGTGTTCTGGGCTGACACTAAATCATAAAATCCACGCAGATTGTTCACAGCATGCTCTACCCTTGGAGCACGAGACGAACCTGCCAAGCCTTGATCACGAGAACATGCTATGTTGGTAACACCTTGCTGAACCTTTGAGATCATGTCAGGCCTATGTATGCCCAGTCTATCAGAATAGCATCCGTTCTTCGGCTGAGCGGCGTCACTGACCTCATAGATTGTGGGACTCCCGATCAGCGTGCACTCAGCTTGCAGTATTTCGAGCTGGAAAACAACGACGACCCTGAACAGCAAATTAAAAGAATACACAACAGAAAATATTATATAATTGTGGACGGATAAAACACACATAAGTAGTTCAATCGAAAGAAAAGTTGCGTGGAAGTGGAATAGACTGCATTGACAAAAACAAAACCGTTAAATGAAAATCAACAAGAGCAAAGGAGTAAACAAAAGAATTGAACCAGAAATAACATGCATGTAGACTATGATAATTGATAAAAACAAGTGACAACTCGCAAAATAACCAGTAAAAGTAAAATCAATCTGTAGCTCGGAAATTTGCAGTCTTAAGAAAAATAATCACAAAACAACATATGTACACCATTACAAACTCAAGACAAGGTATTTATAAATTTGTCCATTAGTCCCTAGCACTTAAACCTGCAATAGTTACAAGATTTTCCTATTCATAGAGTGGTGCATGTTGTTGGGACATACCCTGGACCAACTCTCTCTCTCTCTCTCTCTCTCTCTCTAACACAGACGAATATGAAGGAAGGAGCACACTGATTTGTTTCCGGTGCACAAATGCCCAACTCTCTCTCTCTCTCTCTAACACAGACGAAGGTGAAGGAAGGAGCACACTGATTTTTTCTCCGGTGCACAAATGCCAATGCTGCACGAACGGCGCCATGCCACGCAAACGGCAATTTCTTTTCAGGGAACATACGCCGCTCGGCAACAAATCGTAGCACTTACATGGGAGATTACATGCCCTGGAGACTAAATCGGGCTACTACTCCTCATGGTGAGCGCACACACGCACTTGAAGACTACATCTCTCCTCAGGCTCCTCACTGATGGCCTCACAGCCGAGTACAACTTATATAGCAATACAGGAGGGAGGGTTTTATACCTGTGCGCACACACCCACACGCTGACACGCATGACCAGGCCACTAGCACACGTACAAAGCTAACCAACTAGCCCAGCCGCACTACCAGCACGACTCACACAGCGCCAGGACTCAGCCGGTCCTCTCGCCACGGCTGCATCACATGCACGCACGCCATGCACTAACAGCCCACACGGCCACACCGCAAGCAACTCGCCACGACCATATCCGCGGCCACGCACCAGCACCTGGCTCGACGCGCACACACACGCGTGGCTTATGTCTAAAACTCTCCCCCTAAGCCACGAACACACCACGCGGCCTGCCAGCAGGAGCCCTGACTCGTCGACGACGTCGGCCATTGACTGAACGGCCACACGACCCGTACGTGGGTGCAGCTGTTTGTTGCCAGCTCCCGCGGACGGCTCGGCCTAGAGCAACTGACTGTGATCAAGATTAATGCTTACAGTCTAGTGTTAGGCATAAGCCACGCGTGTGTGTGCGTGTCGAGCCAGACACCGGTGCGTGGCCGCATCGATGGTCATGGCGAGCGTGTCTGTTGCTTGCGGTGTGGGCTGTTAGTGGATGGCATGCATGCATGTGATGCAGCGATGGCGAGAGGAGCGGCTGAGTCCTGGTGCCGTGTGAGTCGTGCTGGGAGTGCGGCCGGGTTAGTTGGTTAGCTTTGTACGTGTGCTTGTGGCCTGGTCATCCGTGTGGGTGTGTGTGCACGCGTATAAAACCCTCCCCCCTGTATTGCTTGTGTGAGATGGTATGAGTCGAGTCACAGCGGAGCCAGAGATGAAGTAGATGTAGTCTCCGTCGGAACCGTGGTATGCGCCCACTGCATGTGTGAAACTCCATGTATTGTTCAAGTCGTTGTGACAAATAAAGCCACGATACATGGGTTCATGTGCCGCAGTGTTTGTCGCCGGGAAAATTATGGTGTCTCCTTTGTCTACCTCTGTCCGGCGTTTGTGTCGCCGGGAGGCCGCTCGGCGTGTGTGACCGAGAAGTGTTAATTTGCCCCAACACATGTTGTTAAAAACCAAAGGAACATTTACTCTGGTAAATCGAGAGAACCTGCGAGATCGGAGACACCAAGATAACTCGAGGAAAATCGCAAAAAAATATTTCTGGTGGTAGTTAAAAAGCAGGTCCTCAGATTAACACTTAACGTTATAATGTTAGTTTGTTGATTAAGTTATAGTGTTAGAGACGTATTCCTAGAAAAGTATACGATCTACAGAAGGAGATACAAATACACTTAACGTTATAGTGTTAGTTTGGTGATTAAGTTATAGTGTTAGAGATGTATTCCTAGAAAAGTATACGATCTACAGAAGGAGATACAAATTGTGTACTAGTTGAAAATCCATGTGGGCTATTAAAAATTACTTGTTACTAATATTGATGTTGTCTTGCCTAAGAT